AATACTGTGTATAGATCAATCCGATCTCACGGCGATTCGTATGCATTTTATGAGGTGTCTAAATCGTACGACCGCACTCGTACAAATTCGTATGAATTATTGTAAAATATGTATGGAAAAAGTGTGAAATGTCATGAGATCAGACACAAAAAAATGGTGGGTTTAACATCAAAATATATTGTCTGATGTTAAAAAGTATGTTTTTATAATCGAATCTTCACTTTGGTCAGTTTAAGGATAATTCATGCAATTTTATAGTGTTTATTTGAAAGAATTGAAACAGATTCATGTCTATCCTTGTATTATTCAGCTGGATGAGATTGATATGGGATTTTTAAAGTAATTAGTAATTAAAAGTAATTAAATACTGTTTAGAGAGCGTAATTAGTACAGTAATCTAATTACACTGTTGAAGAGGTCATTAGTAACTAGTAATTAATTACTTTTTTAGAGTAACTTACCCAACACTGAATGGCCACGAATGTTTATTTCTCTCGTTGAATTATTATACAAATAAATGAAAAGCATCATGTACGAAAGTCATGCATACAATCATGCAGAATAAAGAGGTTATATTAGTAACACTGATCAAAAGTTATATAAAATTTTGAAAACTTTATTATTCTTGTTGTATTTTTCCTTGATGTTTATCTTCTTTCTCCATTTGCATAGATTTGGGGGAACTTTACTCGGACAGAGTATTGTCCGTTTTTGAACGAAACAGGTATGGCATTCACTTCCTACTTTAAATACTGACTCACCATGTTTTATTCAGCTGGATCTTGGTATAGTCCAAGAGTTTTCAGGCGTTCCCACTGGAGTCTTGCACCCGGGAACAATACAAGTCGACACCAAATTTAGCTCAGAAGTGTTTCCTACTAAAGCAAGGTGGTATTTGACTCATAGCAATGGCCTTGGACGACATCATGCCCAGTGCATTATGGGTGTTGAAGTTTGCCAAAATGGAAGAAAACAGCCCTTTCTCTAATCGATTTCAAAAAGGTTTTCGGCTTTCTACTGCTCAGTTTTATTGGAAGCCCATTTTGCTAACGTTTTGACTTTGACATTATTAAAGCGCAGATAACTTTGAATAAACGGTCTGTTAAGTTATTGGGAGAATGTTTGTTTATAACTTTAAGAGAACCTTGCCAGAACGTTCGCTGTCCGCTGGCTCATAATATATCATATTTTCTATATATCATATATCATTTTTTCTATACATACATATTTTCTTATAATATATATATATATATTTTCTATGGAATTGGACTCACAATTGCTTAACAAGTTTTTATCTCAGAATTGCAAGATTGCGAGACCCAAATTGCATTTTAAGTCAGAATTGTGGATGTCAACTCGCAGTTGCGAGAGGTTTATAAAGGTTAGAATTGCGAGTTTAAATCCCCCAATTCTGACTTTATAACACACAATTGAGCAATATTTATATTATAATTGTAATTATATATATATATATTGAAATTTTATAATTGTATTATAAACTCTCAATTGCGAGATGAATAGTCACAATTGCGAGTTATGAGAATAATAGTTATGAGTCGTGTTTCCGTTAACCTTTAAATTGCTCAAACTGAAATTGGGAATTGAAAATACGGCCAATGGAAACGCCAACATTCAGATAATATCGCAGGAGTTTTGTTGTACACGGCTGATCTGCACTGTATGGCTGTCACACTCTCCTTTGGCTCTCCGCAGTCCCCGTGTCCAGTGTGTCGGTGTCTGTGTCCGAGGCTGAAGGTCGTGACCTGCGTCCCGCTCTGCTGTGGATCCTCACGGGCTCCTGCCGGCTCGAGGCTCAGCTGTGGCCGTGTCGGAGGAGCTCAGGCCTGGACACCGGATGCCATGCGCTGGACACCAGATCTCACGTGCACATCCACCCGAACCACAGCTGGACCCAGACCTCCGACCACGGGCGCTGGGTGGGGAACTGCACCGCACATGGCACATATGGAGTGGGACAAGTTAGACGGTGGAGTGTAATATATGGGGTTGGGTTTCCGACACGGGATAAAAAATAAAAAAGGTCATTGCGACTTTTCATCTCACAATTCCGACTATTTATCTCACAACTGCACAATATTTATATTATAATTGTAATTATATATATATATTGAAATCTTATAATTGTGTTATAAAGTCAGAATTGCGAGTTATGAGAAATCTCGCAATTCTGATGAAAAAAGTCTTTTTTTCCTTAGAATTGGACTTTATAACTCTATATTTCCCATGGAATTGGACTCACAATTGCTTAACGAGTTTTTATCTCACAATTCTGAGAAAAGATGTCAGAATTGCGAGATTGCGAGACCCAAATTGCATTTTAAGTCAGAATTGTGGATTTTAACTCCCCCAATTCTGACTTTATAACACACAATTGAGCAATATTTATATTATAATTGTAATTATATATATATTGAAATTTTATAATTGTATTATAAAGTCTCAATTGCGAGATGAAAAGTCACAATTGCGAGTTATGAGAAAAAGTAAAATAAAGTTAAAGTCGGTCTTTTTTCCCTTAGAATTGGACTTTATAACTCTATATTTCCTATAGAATTGGACTCGCATTGCTTAACGAGTTTATATCTCACAATTCTGAGAAAAGATGTCAAAATTACGAAATAGAAAATAAACCCAAATTGCATTTTAAATCAGAATTGTGGATGTCAACTCGCAATTGCGAGAAAAGTTAGAATTGCGAGTTTAAATCCCCCAATTCTGACTTTATAACACACAATTGAGCAATATTTATATTATAATTGTAATTAAATATATATTAAAATTTTATAATTGTATTATAAAGTCAGAATTGCGAGATGAAAAGTCTCAATTGCGAGTTATGAGAAATCTCGCAATTCTGAGGAAAAAAGTCGGCCTTTTTTTCCTTAGAATTGGACTTTATAACTCTATATTTCCTATAGAATTGGACTCGCATTGCTTAACGAGTTTATATCTCACAATTCTGAGAAAAGATGTCAAAATTACGAGATAGAAAATAAACCCAAATTGCATTTTAAATCAGAATTGTGGATGTCAACTCACAATTGTGAGAAAAGTTAGAATTACGAGTTTAAATCCCCCAATTCTGACTTTATAACACACAATTGAGCAATATTTATATTATAATTGTAATTAAATATATATTGAAATTTTATAATTGTATTATAAAGTCAGAATTGTGAGATGAAAAGTCTCAATTGCGAGTTATGAGAAATCTCGCAATTCTGAGGGAAAAAATTGTCTTTTTTTCCTTAGAATTGGACTTTATAACTCTATATTTCCTATAGAATTGGACTCGTAATTGCTTAACGAGTTTATATCTCACAATTCTGAGAAAAGATGTCAGAATTGCGAGATTTCGAGACCCAAATTGCATTTTAGGTCAGAATTGTGGATGTCAACTCGCTCGCAATTGTGAGAAAAAGTTAGAATTACGAGTTTAAATCCCCCAATTCTGACTTTACAACACACACTTTCATGTTATAAATTGCGAATTGTGAGATACAAACTTGCAATTCTGAGTTTATTTCTCGCAATTGCGACTTTATATCTCACAAGTCTTACTTTATATCTCACAATTATGAGAATTAAAGTCAGAATTACAAGTTTTGTGAGATAAAAAGTCGCAATTATCTTTTCAAATGTTTTATTCTGTGGCGGAAACAAGCATCCATACTTTCCAAACAGTAACTGTAACTTTTATTTTAAGGTGACTGTTACAGTGTAATTACACACACATGTACTGATGAATATTAATAAAATGATATATTAATAAAATGTACTGTAGTTTTACATTAAAGCACTGAGTAATAAACATTAATTTATAGTTTAGTAAGTACATGTAACCTGTAACGGACACTCTAAATAAAGTGCCTTATTAAATAAATATTATTTATATAAATAAATTTTAGGATTTGGATTATGGTTAGTTGGTTGTATTTATGCATAATTTAATGTAATTTCTTATGTAACTATGTGACGGCAGAATACAGTGTTACTTTATATTTACTTCTCTAACACGCATCTCTTCTTCCATCCACTGCAGACATTACAAGGAGAGTTTCTACAAGTGGAACGTCATCCTCTGTTGTGTGTTCAGGTACCCCATAAACGTCTTCATCATGTTTATAGTTCACTTCTGATGTGTGTTTTGGGAAACTGGCAGTGTTTTGTCTCCTGTCCAGGTTAAAGTGGTGGGAATGGATGGTTTCGTGGGACCAGTGTGTCCTTTTGAAGGCAAGCACTCGCATCCCTCCGTTCAGATGAGCAGAGTTAATGTGCCACAATACTTCAGTACTTCAACATAACGCATTGCAGATATAATGCAGATTGTGATGTAATAACGGCTGTGTGTGTGTGTGTGTGTGCGTGCAGTGAAGAGGGCTCACTGGATCTTCCCGCTGGTGTTGTGTGTTCTGCTGGTGTGCCTGTCAGTTCTGGGAGCCTATGCAGTGCAGGGAACACTAAAGAGTGAGCATTAGACACACACACACACACACACACACACAGAGACCTGAGCTCATTTCATTGAAATATCAGCTCTTTTACATTACCGTAAAGCAAACAAGGTGGGGAAATGTATTTCATTGCACTGGAAATAATGTCACATTGCAAAAATATTTTTGTTGTGCACTATATAATTATTTTTGTTATTGTTTTGATTTGTGTGTAAAATGCTGAAGTGTGTATCCCCCTTCTCAGGCTGGGTGTTCAGATGGCTGAAGCTGGATGATGTGAACAGTGAGTTTCCTTCATGATCACGACTCACGAAAATTCACAAACGCAAATCAGTTCTGAATGGATCTCTTCTCCCTGACATTTTCGTCTAGTTTTTATTCGTTGACGAAAACGTCAATAAATCTTCGTCATAGCTGTCGTCATTTAAAACCGTTGTTTCTTTAGTTACCGTCTCATTTTCGTCTGTGAAAAACTGTCATTGACGAATAATTTTCGTCGTTATATTCGTCTTTATACGAATATAACTGCATCTTTATACGCCACACCTGTGAGGGATGAACTCGGCGAAAGGAGAAGTGCTCACTAACACAGATTTAGACAGATCTGGGAACAATATTTAATAGAAATAGGCCTTTTGTGTTCATAGAAAAAGTCTTAGATCTTAGAGTTGAAGAGTGGGAGCAAAAACAAAAGTGTTGTGTTTATAATTTTGTTCAGTGTTTATAGTATATATCTGTACGGAGATGATTCACTGAGATGAGTCCTGCACACGGGCGAATATGCTAATATATGATGCAACAGGTGGAATAATATTTACGTGTTGTTGCGTTCGAATTCAATTCGGCTATTTCAACTATTTGACTATTTCAACTCAATTCTGTGCATTTGACAGCTGCTTTCAAATGGACTCGTGCTTATTTGTGTTCGCTCTGTCTGAAGACCGCTAAAGGCTACTAATTACAGCAGGAGTTGCAGCGCTGAGCGTTGTAGCCAATCGCGCTTAATCTGATCGAAAGCTGTAGTGATGATAATAAAGGGAGTGCGCTTTGCTCGCTTTGTTTTAATATATTCACAATTTGAATGAACGTTTTAGCCTATTTTTCGTGCTGCTACAAACAAAAGTGTTTCAGAAGAGACAACCGCATTTAAATGCTGAGTAAATCTGCTTAAATATTTACTAGCTTTAAAGGAGTAGTTTTTAATAAAAAAAAAAAACTTTTTAATAAAAACTTTTGCTGATAATTTACTCACCCCCATGTCGTCCAAGATGTCCAAGATGTTGAAAAGAAATTAAGGTTTTTGATGAAAACATTCCAGGATTTTTCTCCATATAATGGACTTCAATGGGGACCAAACGGTTCAAGGTCCAAATGAGAGTTTCAGTGCAAACTGTTCAAAGGGCTTTAAACGACTCCAGACGATGAATAAGGGTCTTATCAAGCGAAACGATCGCTCATTTAAAAAATAATAACAAAGTTTAAGTTTTATAAGCTCAAATGCTCGCCTTGCTCTGTTCTGTGATGCGCGTTCGTGACTCTCCTGTTCGAACTCGAACATTTCGTTCGTTGAATCAACCAAATGACACGAAAAAAGGACTAAAATGAGTGTTTCTGGATATGGGATTTATGAAACAGGAGTGCAGGTTTGGGGACATTTCAGGTTTCAAAAGCATATACAGTAATTATTAATCCTGCAAGAAAATTAATGTTAGTTATGATTCATTTTAAATTTAATTTAGATTAATTTTAAGATTAATTTCGTGTTAGCTGACGTTCATCTGTGTGTTGTCTCAGCTGCGGTGTCGGCAGGTGTGGAGCTGCTTCTGGCGTGTCCTCCGGACTCAGACGCCGCCGTGATCCAGCTAATGTGCCGTCTGGGCTCGAGTCTCTCGGCTCTCGGCTTCACCGTGTCTCTGGACTTGTGGAACCGCTCCGAGATCAACGCTCTGGGTCCGGTTCCCTGGCTGCACTCCTGTCTGGAGCGGGTGCGGCGGAGCGGAGGGAAAGCCGTGATGGTTCTGACTCCGGAAGCCTGCGAGCGGGCCGAGCAATGGGGCTGTCGAGGAGGCAAACCGGAAGAAGGACCGGGGGTCCGGTCGTCAACGTGCTCTGAAGTCTTCGACGCATTGCTGAGCCGTGTTCTGGGAGACTATCTGCTGGGTCGTGCGGGAGAGCGGTTCGTGCTGGCGCAGTTCGACGGGCGGTGCTCTGCCACGGCCCTGCCCGCGTTTCTCCGCGGACTGCCGTTGTTCAGCTTGCCTTCCCAGAGTCTGGACTTCATAACGGAGCTCACGTTGGGGGCTCGTACGGGAGCAAGAGTGTGTGAGCGGTGGGAACGAGCGGGGGCGTTGAGGACTGCGTCACGGGCGTTATCAGGAGCGCTCAGAGAGGTCACGGGGGTCACAGGACTCACCTGTCCATGGCTCTCTGAGGAGAACGGATGGGAAACCGTCCCACTGCGAGCAGAACATTCAAGCACTGCTTGACCCCAAAATAAGCACTGGAGGTTGGGTCTAAACGAATCTCAGGTGCACGCCGAGCCTCATCTTAACCAAGAACCTCGTAAAGTACGGTCCATTTCCCAGATCTGGGCCACATCTGATACATGTAGAACCCATTACCCCTTTTCCACCAGTTCTGTGTGTTTCTACCGCCAGAGAACCGGTTCTCGGCCAGGAAAATTGGTTCCAAAGTGGCACCAACTAGAGGTCTTCACGGGTCCACTTGGATCCGAAAACCCGAGGTCCGACCCGAGACCCGACCAAAAGTCCGACGAGAGTCTCGGGTAACTTAAAATAAATTTGCCTTTTCCAAATGGACCCGAGATGACCCGAATTATTTTAAACAATGTTGGACATTTAACAAAATTGCGGCATTTAAAACAACCGTTCTGACTTTTTTTTAAGTGAGAGAGCGAATCCGCGCTTTTACGTGCAATGGGATATAAGCATACCCAGATAGCAAACTGACATTGAATCAACGTGGAAATATGACATCGAAACAACGTTGATCTGACATTGTTTTGGTCATCGAATTAACGTTGAACCAACGTCAGACGCGTCATTCTTTCAAAACTAACGGAAAATCAACTTGAAATCAACGCGTTGTTTCAACGTTATGAAAGCAAACCAATTTTCGATTTTCATTTAGCTTTGAAGAATGCCGCGTCCGACGTTGGTTCAACGTTAATTCGATGAGCAAAATCAACGTTGTTTCAATGTCATGAGAGACGTCGTTTCCACGTTGATTCAATGTCAGTTTGCTGTCTGGGTAAGCCTCCGCATTTATTTACTCAGTTGCTCGCGCCTCAAAAACCAACCCCTCCGTTTGCAAAGAAGAACTAGTGCGCCATCATGTGGAGGGATGTTTGACTACATGCAAGTATTTGAATTGTCGTTTAGCCAGGCCTGTCAATCAATTTTGAAAATACGCGACACTGTCAGACAAGCACGGAGACGATGAAACAGATATTGCGAAAAAGGTGAGGGAAAACGAATATGTAGAACAGAAACATCCAGGGTCATCCTTATCAATAATGATTTGTGATCATTGTTGATAAGGAAGGAAAGAAGACGTGCAGTTAAATGCGTTGATGCGATAACGTTACCATATTAAGATTTGATTCAGAACGTCCAATTTGACTACTATTGTGGTTCTAATGCCCTGTTTTAATCGCATTTTATCTAAACAACTTTGCAACAATGGGTTTGTAGGCTAAATAACACAATTTTTAGTAAAAGTCAATGACTGGTAGAATTTGAATGAAAATCTGTAGGCTATTTGAACCAGCACCAGTTGCAAACCAGTTCTTTTTTGGTGGAAACGAGATGTGGGCCGGATCTGGGCCGACGCTACGTTGCTGTCTGTCTGTTTGGTTTTCCTGCTGCTTGGTGAAATCATTTCAATAGGAATCTGCGTGTTTGGTTATTTTGCACAAGGTTGAAAGAGTTCCCAGTTCTGCTCATGTTCAAGTTGTTCACACGGATTCGCCAACATGAAGCTTGGTTTGAAAGTCACTTGTAACGCTATTAATAATTCACCGCCCTGCATCGTATATATTCTGAATGAAATCCAATACTTCAGGGGTTCGACATTAGTGCTTGTCCACTTGGGACAAATGGTTTTTTTACTTGCCGAACTGGTCAATAAGCCTGATTAAAACTTCAGTGACAAAAAAACAACTAGTGAAAGACCAAAAATGCGAGATTGTTTCTGATTTTTTTTACTGTTTTTGTTTCAGCAGCGAAAATAGTTCCAAACAAAGATCAGTTAGCGTTTTGAACGAATCGGTTCAGTCAAAGATTCAATGACTCATTCATAAACAATTGCATCATACTTAAACGAATCAGACGTTTTAATGAATTGAATGAATGGCTCAGTGACTCACTCATGAAGATGGTCAACTGCCGCCATCTACTGGTTTAGGTTCACGTTTCTTATTTTATTTTCAAAAAATATTTAAAACAATCTTATGACATTGTTTAATACAGTTGTAATTTTTCATACATTTAGCCAGAAATCTCCACTTTACAGTTTTATTCTTATCTGTATTCTAAAGGTTTTTACAGAAGGGCTTGTTCATATATAATTTTCCTGATTTTATACAACATTTTATTCCTAAAATAATGGCAAGAATTTATTGATTTTTGGCTGTTGACATTATTTTCTGATTTGTGGAGTGATCCCCTCTGTAAAAACCTTAAAGACTCTAATATAGAAAGAATTATTACAGAATACAAGAATTTTGAAGCTGACTTAATCCAATGTTCAGATTTTTGTCATATTTAGAAATGTATGCAAATTAGTGCTAATTTAATTAGATAGCTCCTCATTTGCATATTTAAATATAACATTTCAGAAAACATATAATACAAAAAAATATTTGCAATTATTAACCTTAATACATTTTTTACTCAGACAATGAATGACCAATGATTGGGTGCTGATTCCAGAAAGAGTGTTGGGTTTGCTTTAGCACGTCTCACTTTCTCACAAAATATGTGCATTTTGTACCATTTTTGCTTTCAATAGTTTGTAAGGTGAAGAAGGCTTCTATTGTCCCGTAATCACCAGAAGAAAAAGACCCGATTCCCATCTTTCTCCGAGCCATTTTGTTTCAATTCTCACATGTATATGATATGACATTATTTTTGTATGTGAACATTATTTTCCACTCTTTTGCAGACTGCAAGTTTGATATAATACGTCCTGATACAGACATGCATATATATGAAGAGTTCAGATGCAAAAGCCTCTAAGTGCCATTTGAAATTTTCTTCTAGAATTATCATTTTTATCAAGCTCGTATATTTAAGTTCAGTAATTTCACTTAAATGGCAATGATAATTACCTATTAATTGTTATTTAAGTGAAATTACTGAACTTAAATATACAAGTTTGATAAAAAATCATCATTAAAGAAGAAAATTTCAAATGGCATTTAGAGGCTTTTACATCTGAACTCTTCATATATATATATTAGTAATGGAAGGTTTTTACTGATATTTTTGAACTCCGCATTATTGATTATGAAATATTAGGCCTTTTCATGATGCCCTCTGTTAGAGGTGTTCATGTGAAATATATTGTGCAAAATATTCCCTGATCGGAAGTGTGGTCAGAATTACAGATACAGCCGGCCCAATGAACTCTGACATTGATGTGTAATAATGTATATTGTATATGATATGTAAATATGCGTTATCTCACGCTCAGTCTGCCGGATGGACCAGAGCTTGTTTTACACAAGGAAAACCACAACAGACTGCACACCTATACACACCTGAACTGTGTGCAAGATTGTGAGAGAAGCCACTTTCTTCTTTTGACTATTAATTATATTTCCATACCATATACTGTAAAACCACAAACACTGCATATAATAAGTCAGAAGGTAATAAGCTATATATATATCTTATATAAGCTGTAACTGTAAGATTTTCAGTCAGATGTCCGGTTGCATGAATGATTTGCCTTTTCTTGAGTGCCTATACAGTAAAAGAGTGTGACAACTTGCCCCTGTTGTTTTTTGTAGCCTACACTAATGTTTAACTTATTGTGAATTATAATTTTTTGAATGATCAGTTTTAAAATTGCACTGAGGCGCGCAATGTCATGAAAAGGAGCAATACAAATTAATCTAAAATATACATACATATATATATATATATATATATATATATATATAGACTTGTATCGCTTCTTTTCATGAAATTGTGCGCCTCAGTGCAATTTTAATATATATATATATATATAAATATATAAAAGAAAAATCAAATATCTTAAAAAAAAAAAGACAAAACGATCCTTACCTTGGTAGCCTTGGTATTATATAGATATAATAAATATATAAATATAATATAATAAATATAAATTTATTTATTAAATAAATAAATATATAATAAAATATAAATATATAATAAAATATATATATATAAATATATAATATATATAATTAAAAAAAGAAATAAAATGTTAGATGTGCTTTGTATTGTAACATGATTAAGGCGGGGCTATGACGACACGCGATCCACACCTTTCATCTTGGCACACGGCGGTGTGTGATTGGCGCACAGAATCCTTCTTTAATGCTGATTGGCTGTTCACAAGAGGAGGCGGGAGTTAAGCGCTCAGCCGCAGCATCGCTCACAGAATGAACTAGAAGAGCGAGCGGTGCCGGAGGTGTTTAATACAGCGATATAACGACTCTTAAATATAACGTGTTTCTGTGGGAAAGATTTGGAGGCTGTTTACCACCCAAGCGCAACCTTGCGAAGTGAGTATACGAACATAAAACATAAAGCATCTTGCGTCAGTATTCAAATGAGAGCGCTGGTGAACGGCTGGTCGCGTCGCCGGAGAAACATTTCTGCGATTAGATTAATCTAGTGTTTTAATATATTAGTGATTTAAGAGTCGGGCTGTTATGTTGCATGAACATCTGAACTCTCAGTCAGTCAGTGGCCTATCCGTGCAGCATCAGCATCACTCTCCTGAAGAGCTCGGGTCACACCGGAAGTGGAACTGATGATGCTGAGATTCAGTCCATTCAACATCTCATAAACGTGTTTAGAAAAGCTGTTCTTAAATCGAGACTGCCTTGCACATATGATAATATGGTTTTGTCATGTTAGAAATATTATCCTTATGTTGAAATTATTACAAGCTCAAGTTATAATTGCTGCCCATCCCTGTTTAACTGAATACATGACATTAACTGCTTTATTATATCTGCATATCATCGTCATGTGGACGTACTTTGTATTTTTTGGAAAGTTGCTTTGAAATTAAATGAATTGTGAATAGGGCTGTGAAACGATCATTCATCGCGATTGATCACACCCAAAATAAAAGTTTGTGTTTATGTGTGTGTACTCTGTATAATCATTTTGTATATATAAATACACACACATGCATGTATATTTAAAGGAGTAGTTCACTTTAAAAAAAAAACTTTTGCTGCTGATAATTTTCTATAATTTAAGTAGGCTAAATAATTTTAATTTTAGATAATTTTATAATCCAAGATGTCCACGTCTTTCTTTCTTCAGTCGAAAAGAAATGAAGGTTTTTGATGAAAACATTCCAGGATTTTCTCCATATAATGGACTTCAATGGGGTCCAAACGGTTCAAGGTCCAAATGAGAGTTGCAGTGCAAACTGTTCAAAGGGCTTTAAACGATTCCAGACGATGAATAAGGGTCTTACCAAGCGAAACTATTCAACGAATAGTCTTATTCAACGAACGAAACGAACGAATTGACTCGGAAAAAGATTAGTTCATTTTGACGAACGAGTTTGAACAGGAGAGTAACTCACTTAGCGCCTGTTCAAACTCGTTTATCAAAATGAACGGATCTTTTTTCGTGTCATTTGGTTCATTCAACGAACGAAATAAACGAATTGATGAATGAAAAAGATTCGTTCATTTTAAATAAATAACAATAATGGTAATTAACAATACGATCAAAATCGCATTAAAAAACTCAAGAAGATTAATGTGAATGTGATTAAAAAAAATCGGAT